TTTACGATAAATTCCAAGTGGCTACAACGCACTATGTAAATTTAACACGCGAATTACGCTCTATGCAAAATGCGCCAATTACGCTCTACGTTGAATTACAACAGCCCGTCTTCGCTCTACGTAGAATTAAAGCGGCCAATTACGCTCTACAGAAAAGGACATGCAGGCCCCCTTTACTAGTTGGAAGAGATTGTGTACAACTTTTTCCTTGACCTGCTTCGGAGCAAGTGGCCAGAAAAAAAAACATTTCCACACTCCATATAAACTCCATATAAGCCAAAATCACACATTCACGATGTGACATTCCGGTATTGTATACTCTTTATTTGGCAGACATAGTGGGCAACTTTCTTTTTCCTTGACCTGCTTCGGAGCAAGTAGCCAGAAAAAAACATTTGAATGCCGGGAGGTGTAGATGGACATAAGCAGAATGTGTTGCAGGTCAAATTCCTGTACAAGTGAGAATGTTTTTCCAGACATGGTTGGAGATCAAAAGGCCTGTTTATGCATTTTTGTGATTGCTGCTTCTACTGGTCACGTCAATTAGCTCTGTAGATAACCTGGGGGGGGGGGGGGTACTATTGATGCAAGGTACAAATGTACATGTAATATGGGTAGCCTCTACCAGGCTTCACTGACTGAAGCTGTACATCAACATGGCAAGACGACAAGGGCCCTAGAAGACCAGGCTCCAGGAAGTGGCTGGAAAGACTAAAATAACTAGGAATTGGCCAAATATGATGATATGTCGCCCTGAACTGTTCTTTTAGTGTGGTCAATTTCTACACCTTCCAGCAACATCCCAAAGCCTAGTAGAGGCTATATATAATGCGGGCTATACTTTATTGAAGTGAATGGACATGCCAGCACTTGCATATCTTATAAAGGCATCCAATGCAATTTTTTTTTGGGGGGGGAGGGTAGTTTTCATAGTCATTTTTCTGGTCATTCTTTTAATGTTAGTATTAAAGTTGAATCAACTATGTTTTCACTGATACATGTATACATGCAAGGCAACAATGTGATGTCGCTGACGGAAAAACGGTTGCTTGCTTCGTATTGTAGGCTGGTTCTAGCTAGTTATTGGTGGTACCAAAAATAGAGGGACTTTTCTCTTAGCTTTGTTTCCGGGGCCAACACTTCAAGTATGAAATAATGACTAAAATGCGCTAAAAAATGACAGGAAACATCAATATCAGACAGATTTAGCAATCCAAAAAAAAAAAAAACAAGAAGCCATAGGTGACAATCCTCCGTGAAGTTTTTATATATTTCAACAAAATCCCAAGCGTTTTGGCTGCGAACATCTTCCAAAAAACTTGGCATCTCTTAAGCATGGGCAAAAGCATCTGGAACCACTTATCAAAACTACCCCGTATCTGCATGAAGTTCCACCCCCCCCACTGCTATTCCAAACAACGCGTTTTTCTGGACCATTCCAATTCGCCTCGTAATTGTAGGGGTGCGTCTGCAATATTACATTGACCGCGAAAGCAGCAACGGCAAAAATACACATTCGTGCATCAACACGGGCATGCCCGCAGACGGCGTATAAAATTGCGTGCCGATTACACAAAGAGAACCCAGTGTTTTGACTGCAAACATGAAAAATCAGCCGATCACAACACTCCGTCCGGAGGTCCTGACCTCCTTCACGGAGTAAAAATTAAAAGACACAAAAGAGAAAAGATGAGACAAGAAGAGACAGCAAAAAAGAAGGAAAGGGACCGTGACAAATGTTGGGTTTACCCTCAAGTATGTGAAGGTCAGGGAATGGTCATCCTGAGGCTTGTTACACTTCACCTTCACTGCTGACCCCACTACTAACACCGCAGTAGGAAAGTCTTCAATTTCATATCCCATTGCCTTCACAGTAGGCCATCTATCCCACATGGACAAAAACAGTTCTGCCCCTGCCTACACAAATAAACACTCTCCAAACTTGAGATTTCAGTCAGAGAGGAGGGCCTGCATGCCCTTTTTCATAAGGCGTAATCAGGCCTTTTTAGTCGTCATAATTCCTAGGCAGCCTCCCAAAAAATCAACGTAGTCCGTACAGTACATTAGTCGCAAAGTGTTAAGTCGTAATCAGCTCTGAGATGTTTACGTAACTCGTAATTGGCGGCAACAATTGTGCGTAATTCGTAAGCACTACCCCCCATGCAGGCCCTCAGAGAGGTGCAGTTTCTAAGTGTAAGCCATTTTAATCCTGTACGTGTTTAATCAAAATAGTCCTGACTCCTGAGTTACAGAGAAGGTACATTATGTGTGCCAATGTTAATATTCTCCCATCTGTACAAGCAAAGATGAAACTTTCGTTATTTATTCAGACAAATAAAGCACTGTAATAACTTGACAAGGTGGTTAAGGTGGGCTTGTGGTTAGGATATGTGGTTCTAGATATTTGCTGGTGGTACCCAAAAATAAAGGAACTTCAATAGATATTTGCTGGTAGTACCCAAAAATAAAGGGACTCCAATTCTCACGTATATGTTGCTTATGTCTGGGCAGGCAATTCAAATGCTTGAAGTATGAAATTCTAAGAAATAGCAATAGATGTCAACATCAGAAAGATTTCCTCATTCAGAATAGTTTTTGTCTTGTGACTTTTCTTGCCCTTAAAATTCATCTGTGTTGGTAGCTATAGAAACCTCAACAAAGACGGGGGGCGCCACAGACTTTCTGCAACCTATGATCCACTGCTCACGGAGTCGCATGTATTATCTGCGTGACGTCACGGAAGCGGTGGATTGCTCATTCCTTGACGAAGACTGGAGTTGTACAGTCGAAAAATTTGGGTGAGTCCACTTTGTTGTGTTGGATATTACAGTTCAAACTTATTTCATACAACATGTAGTTATGTGATCCCCTGATTTCCTTTACTGTGGCCCAAACATTCCCCAGTAAGCAGAGGTACTTATGTTGACCAGGCAGGAGGTGGCAGCCCCATGGCTTTAACACATGCCAGCTGACCTTGAAGGGTACCGGGAGACCACTGAACTTGAAAATCACTGCCTGCCCGACAGAGGCCAGGCAGTCTACCATGGTAACATGCTGAGTTTTGCAAACTTCTGGAATTTTCCACAGCAGGGCACCATCTACTAGTGACTGTTTTTTTCACCTTTTCACCTCCTTTTTAAGTATTATAAAAAATTGATCTAACATTCAATATTCAGAATTGACAAATGTCAAACTATGTTACAAAACTGTACATACAAACTAGGAGTCAGATCACTGAAATATCTGTCATATCTGAACTCAAACCAACTTTTTTTTACAAAGGTATTGGGTTCTGTCATTTTACCTCACCTTCTTTGAGCGCCTGCAAGCCCTTTTTCGTAAGGCGTAATCAGGCCGTTTTAGACTTCGTAATTCGTAGGCAGCCTCCGCAAAAATCAACGTAATTCGTAATTGGACATTAGCCGCAAATCGTAAAGTCGTAATCAGCCCTGAGACTTTAACGTAATTCGTAATAGGCGGCGAAAATTTTGCGTAATTCGTAATCTCTACCCCCCTTGCAGGCCCTCTTCTTTCCATAGATTATCTAGAAAACGTTCTTTATGAACAACAGTTGCTGATTTTTCTAGCCTCTAGCATCAACAATGTCACGGCCCCTGCTATTTGGAATTTCCACAGTTGTTGAAACGTCAGCGACTTGAGACCTGGATGGTGCGGAATGTCCAAAGATGGTCGTAACCTTCAAGACAAGTACAAAGCCTCGCCTCTTCAAACAAACACAGGAACTATAGGGACTGACTTCACTTTGGGTTTTTCCCTGGTCAGTCAGGCTTCCCCTGCTGGTAAAACAAACAGCTCGCCTGTTTATGGCAGGGTTTGTTAGGAAACGGCAGGTTTATTTTGGCTACTTAGGTGAGAGACAGAATCCTGTTATTGCAGTAACCGCAAAATGGTCAACAACGCCAATGCATGGAGATGGGATCTTCTGCATGTGAGAAACTTTAGTTTGGAAGAATCTGCTTGGGAAATTTAGCTTACGGACTGGAGAAAAGCCTAAACTTGTTACATATTATAATACAAAACCTTATACTAAACTACTAGTAACATTTTCTTGTATTTCTAACCAGTTTAAGTGATTTTCAAATGTCACCTATTCTCAGGGGACCTTAAATATCATTAGTTTCTAAAACAAAGACTTCAGGTAAAATTTGTATCACTGGGTCACATTTTTCTGTGTGGGAATTTTGTACTGCACATTTTCTGACATACTTTAGGAAATCAATTTTTTTCACAGTGAAATTTTTCACGGGGAAACTTTCAGATTGCAAGTACGTAATTGTATGTGTGGGGCATTCTGAACACAAACACTTATTTTCTGGCCTTGCAAAAAAAAACTGCACCATTTCACTGCTCTCAGCTTGTATAGAGCCTAGCCTGAACCAAAATCACCACTCGCCCACTTTGTCAACAAGTGTACCATGGTTCAAGACATTTGTGGACAAATTTGGCTGGACTGGACCAATGTAGCCTGCTTGGCAAATAAACACACAGATCAGTGGATACCCAAGGAATTTTATCGGTCCCACAAATGGGACACCAAATCCCCCTGTAATCAACTGTGACCGAAATCTTAAGAGGACAGAGTAAGACTTTCCTTAGCACCTCTATAAACTATGGAGTTTATCTGTCGTAGCGCTGTTACACATTAGCACAAACTCGTATATTCTTTCTCAACTTGTGGACAGAGTCCAAAAAACAAAAATGAACTTTCTAATTCACGTTCATTATTTACTTTACATCACAACCTTAATCCATTGGGTGGAGCGACAAAGCACTTCTATGATTAAAGAATAAACAAAAGGTAAGACAAAAAAACAAAATGAAATCCCTGTGATTAGATGCTTTTAGTATCATTGACGTAACTTTCTCTTTGGCTTAGGATGTAACTTTTTATGGAAATCTTTCTGTGGTCTAAACTCTAACCATCACAACTGTGAACATTGTGCGACAGTATGAGTGAAACAAAATGAGAAATAACTTACCTCCACCAGTTTTCTCTGGAGTGGACTTAGTTCAGACAAGACAGGAGTTTGCGGTACTTTTGCTCCCTCTTGCTCCATCCCTTCTAGAATGTTCCTCTGCACCGAGTTGATCCACGCGTTGCCCTGAAGGCCAAGTCCAACCTTTCGGCCCTTCCTGCTTGGTAGCAATGCCTCCTCTTTGGAAACTTGTGAATCCATGGTGTAGGTGAGATACAGGGAGAACACTGTCACAGCCAGGACCAGGAGAGAGAGGTCTCTCTGTGGTGATCGCAGGGTGCATAGGAACTTCATCCTGGTGCAGTGTCTTGTACAGCAGGCACTTCCAGCCATGCTGCATCAGTGCTGCTCTGCCACTGATGTTGCCGACTGCAGAGCTCTCAACGGCTCAGGTGATTTACACGGAGATACACTGTACTGAACCAGGCCAGGCGTTACGCCCGGTCCTGTTTGGGAAGGGGTTTGTTTCCTCTTGCTGCAGATACAGTTTCAGCATCCCCATACTGCAGGCAGGCTCCCTCTCCACACTCCAGCACACATGACTGAACCTGGAGGCCTGGGGCTTTCTCCACTCACTCTCATTACATCCACACTATTGGTGCGCATGGGGAGGTGTGTTGTTAGTGGGAGGGGCAAGGCTACGGGATGCGATAGGTAGGTCCAGGCATGCCAGGTATGCGGTGCTGTTTCTTGACTTCCGCCAGGGTCGTCAGGGAAACCTCCGGCAGCGGCTCTCCTCCTGAGGAAAACGACAGGATATAAGGTTACTGGAAACTTCAGGGTTTAAACAACAGCGCCACCCTGCTAGCCACAGAGGCAGGCACAGGGGGTTTTGATGTGACTCCCTTCCCAGAACTTTCCTCAAGTTCAGCGACTCTCTGATCTGTGACCCCGCCCCCTTCTGGTTCTGATCCCTGCTATCAGGAGACTGAACCAGATCTGATCTGAAGTGGGGACTCTTGGTGGTCACTTTGCATGTGAAACGCTATCTGCCACTTCAGCTGTATACCCACTCTTATAATCCAGATACGGTGCTAAATATAGTGCTCCCCTCCCAGTGCTGCAGTACTGGGGGGCTGTGCTGCATGCGGAAAAACAAACTAAAGGAATGTAGGCTTGTTGCCAAGGTAGCAAGGGTTCACCCTCACGTCAACAACTTTCCGGCTTTATTTGCGCTAAAAGTTCAGGTTCAAATATTGGGAAAATGAGTACAAACACATTAGAGAGAAGTATAGCGAAAAACTGTCTCCGGTGTGAGTAAGATTGATTGGAAAGCCTTGCCACTCCTGGCATTTCTGGTGAGGGATACTTGGCATCTTCTGTGGTTTTTCTGCCCATATCAATTGACCACACATCAGGCAGTTACACATGCCGCAGAGATCAGGATCAAAACACAAGAGGCATTGCCAATAAATCATCATTCCTTGTGAACTGTGTTCTGTTTTCTCACTCTTGCATAGAACGTAGATATAAGAAAAAAAAGTTCTAAACCCAAACATAAAACTTTTAGTATATAGTTATCTATACAAGCAAGGAATACTACTGATTAAAGTGATTTCTGGGCAGTAGAATTTTCAACATCAATTTTTAGGTCATTTTTTTAATGTAATAAGTTGGATCGTGATAGATAGTGATATATGTAAAGCAAAAAGGCAATGTCATTGATGGAAAATAGTTGCTTGTTTTGTATCATTGGCTGGGTTTAGCTATTTATTATTATCACTGGTGGTACCAAAAAATACAGGTACTCCTTACATTTCTGTACATAGCTTGTTTTAGGGCTACACTGTATTTCAAATGCTTCACGTATGAAATAATGACAAATATGTGCTAAGAAATGGCAGTAAATGCCAATACCAGACATGACAGAGTTCTTCGAGACATCAAGAATATTTTTTTTTTGTTATGTCGCCCTGAAATTGCATTGGATGATGCTTACATATTAAGTTCTATCCACTTGACTGCACTTTAGCTATCCATCAGAGGCACACAACACCTGTTGTTTGCTGAGAGACCAGGAAGGAATTGCCAAATGTTAGTTTGGTTAGCCATGCCTTGCCTGTTTCTGTGAGGGTCACTGACCATTTCACTTCCAATGTCAGATCCATATTTCATTCTCGGGGAATGACAACATTTATCTGCCCGGTTACATACGCGTACATCTGGCCACTACGAAAGATAGTGTAACGTTTCATGTATTTTGGAGACCTCTAATGCTGCATACCTCATTCAGGTATATGCACAGTTTAGATAAAATACAAATGTATACAAAGAGTGCATCATACTGTAGGATAAAGAGTGGAAGAAAAAAGCATTGCGCAAGAAATTGTTTCTGCATCAGTAATGGCAAGGAATTAGACATCGTAGAACAAGGGGAATTTCAAAACCTACAAAAAAACTTACCAAAGTAATGTGGTATCAATTAGATATCAACTACGATGTTTCACTGTGTTTTGAAGTTGGTCTACTATATCCAATGTCTTCTATATATATATTCTGCATCTATTATTTAGTAGTTCTATCATATACATTTGTACACAGTACTTTTGACACAATTATACAGTCATGATGATTTGGTAAGGAACAAAACAGCACCTCTTGGTAAAACTTTTTTTTTCTGTTTAAATCTCATCAGCAGTATCCAGTGCTCTGATAAACCCCTTCCCAGCCCCGGCAGTCTGTATCCCATCACAGTCAGGCTATCAGCTGGTGTAAACCAGGGCAGGCCCTCCTGACACAAATGGACCCGCAAATCAATCATCTGTCAACCAGAAGCTGATAGAAGGCGGTCCCCAAACACAGCCACAGGAAAGGTGGACATGGCCAGAATCAACCTAGCCTGGGTACCATCCTCCGTAGTTTCTACTGGCTCCCCTTGTGGTAGCAAGCAAAAAGGGGAGCCAGTAGAGGATGGTACCCAGACTAGAAGTTGAACCAACATATTGTATAGAGTAACCAGGAAGACAAGGAGTTTTCTTCAATTGTTTGGGCCAAAATATGAGCATTCTGTAGTTGAGTCAGAACCTGAATCCTTATTTGTAAATCAGAAAAAAAATGAAGCAGGCGAATATGAGAACCAATTGATTAAATTGGCATGTCCTTAACCAAATATAAATTTCTCAAGCCTTGTGCACCCTTTTCAAATCTACTATCCACTACTTCTCTACATCTGCATCATCCTCACTTACCGGTACCAGTAATACCCTGGCGACTTCATAAACATTTTATCTTACTCCTAATAAACTACAGGAATTGGTGGCACCTTATTTTCATCAGCACCCAATCCGATTTCACATTCTTGATCTGATTAAGTAGGGAGATTTTAGGCTTTTTCTATCTGTATCCTGTTATGCCTTATGGTGTGATGGGTAAACAGTCATTTTTTTGTGACAAAGATCAAGAAAAATGACTACCATATTCCAATATCGGGTTTATTGGAAAGGGCCATTTAAATGTGTAGCCTGGGTGACAGACTGTTTTCAGGGCCTACACAGGCCAGTTCATCAGCTCCAGGGCCAACATGCCCCCAAGGAAATTATACCACAGCCCCCTCAGTTAGGCCCTGATCCAGAGGCAGCCACACACTGGCTAACTCTGTGTCTAGTTACCTTCGCCAAGAAGGTTATGTTTTCGTTGGCGTTCGTGTGTCTGTGTGTGTGTGTGTGTGTGTCTGTGTGTGTGAGCACGATAACTCAAGAAGGCTAAGATGGATTGTCTTGATACTTGGTAGGTGGGTAGGTCTTCATGAGACGTGGAACTGATTAGATTTTGGACCCCTAACGGCTTGTTACGGTACTGCAGCTGAACTTCCGGTTTTGATATCTCGTGATCTAGACATGCTAGGGTGACGAAATTTAGATGGTAGGTAGCTCTTGTGCTGGGGAACAAGTGACGTGAGTTTGGACCCCCTAGCGGCTTGCTCTGGAATTGCAGGGGCATTAGTTGAAAAATGTTTAAAGGCGGATAACTCAAGAACCGATTGATGGATCGTCGTGATTTTTGGCATGTAGGTAGCTGAAGTGATGCTTGACATAATGCTATTACAATTATGCAAATATTAATGTAATTTGCATAATTAATGAGGAAATTCTATATATCAGCTGCATTCCATGATAGGACTATTCAAGCTTGTGATATATGTAATGCAGAACGGCAGAAATACAGGCAGATATCGATTATGCAAATGAAGACTTAATTTGCATAATTCACAAGAAAATGTTATAATTACATAGTGGTAATGTCTGGAATTTCATACTTGGGATATTTGAAAGTTATGTGAAGGTGAACATTATTAAACATAATTTATTCAAATAAGGACCTCTTTTGCATAATTTATGAGGACATGCTATAATGGCATGCATTGATAAGATAAGACTGTCTTCTGGTGTAGAATATGACCAACAGATATAATTGATGCAATATTGGATCCTATTCGCACAATCAGGGGGATTCATCTATAATTTCTTAGTCAAAAAGGCTAACATCATTTGGCGAAGGTATGAGATCGTGGAACTCTAGTGTGTTATGAATCTAGCATCCAGGCTACTAAATGTATAGTCCTAGAAGACAGTTACTTTTAAATTACAGAAACTTCTCACCCACCCCTGAACCACTTCACGTTTCAGAAAATATTACACCATTTTCTACCATCACTATTCATAGACTGTACAAACATTCTTTTAAACAACTTCAAGTGCATGCACATATCAAACAGTTGATGTGGCCAGCCATGCATACATATAATCTGCATAGTTGTTCCCAACTTTCCAAGAACTGGCTTGTACCAAGAGTTTCCACATGGCAGAAGGAATGGCAGAGTGCTGACCCCAGGGCAGCAGGAGTTGACACAACCGCAATTATCAAGGTTAGGAGAAAACCCATAGCATCAAGCAGGAATGTGTAACGTTACATCTCGACCAGATCTGCCTCCATACAAAGGAAAACATAGTACGGTACAAAGTCCTGACTGTATAGAAGACTGTATGAGAGTGCAGTATTGATAAAAGCTGCTAGGGGGACCAAACCCACGCCACTTGTTTCTAACAAAAAAAGCTCTCTCTCAATCTCATGCACCAAAAAATCAAGACCATAACATGTTAAAACATACAACAACTGGAAGTTGTATTGCAGTACCAAGGTCAACCACCAGGAGACCCACATTTGAACGTGACCTTTGTCTTCCTAAGACTATCCCATATACCAAATATCACAATCCATAAAGGCCTTGTAATTATAAGTTGTAATGCTGACCACAAATGCATGTGTGTAGAAACACTGACAGACACACAGACACACACGCCAAAAACAATACCTCCATTTTTCATACAGGGGAAAAGATAACTCCAAAAGCACATCCTCCATGGATACTGAGTTAAAGCTCTGCGAATGCAACGGAAGTGTTCTTTTTCTATTATAAGAAAGTTAAGGCTGCGAGACAAGTGCTTGAGCAAAGCACATCTTTTATAGCATTCCTCAGGGCAGCGATCTACTTTCATGGCAAGGGCACAAACAGACGACAGACAAGTCTTTGTCAAGGGGATGTGGAAAACCTTCTTCAAGCAATTTGACCGTGCTCATGGGACAGTGAAGGTCGTTACCAGCAAGGGTAGTCATATCTTGAACAATGATAATGGACTGAGCAGCTTGCCTGATAAAGGCAAGAATCACATTATTTTACATACAAAATAGTCGTAAAAAGGTCATTCCACAATTACCCACTAGTAATAGCACCAGCCAAAT